AGGTAATTAATGTGTTGTACTGGTGCTAAGTGAACATTTTTCCTTTTAATTAACTTGAGTTGGGTGTGTACTTTTAATAAAAATATCCTGCCTCTTAACCTCATGTGGTTCATTGTCATATTGAATCTAAGCCTTCTCTGAGCTGGAGATGGATTTTCGCTTCTTGAGCTCACTCTTCAGTTCCATGTTTTCTCATGTTTCTCACACTGCACAGTGTCTTTCCTGAATTAAAATGTAGGCTATAACAGCTCTATACAACTCTGTGCAGTGTTGATAGTCTGTGTATAAGATATGTTAAAACTAAAGATGTTTGTAAAAATAATACTTTGGTTATTTAAAATGTCAAGTTTCAATAGCTTCATAAGGTGTTCATTTTAAATTAAAACAGGGATTTTTTTTAGACAAAATGCTGTGTTTCTGAAGAACTTTTATAATTGCAATTTATCTGTTAATTTTTTACTGTAGAAGGTATTGCATTGGATGGAGATGATCCTGAACACATACAGTGGATTTACCAGAAGTCTTTAGAAAGAGCCTCACAATTTAATATTAAAGGTGTTACCTACAGACTCACCCAAGGTAAGGGGATGGCATTTCACCAAGTTATGGCATTTGCACCTAGGCTGGATTGGCATTCTTTGTGTTTGTTATGACTAAGCTGGCAGCTGTGCTGAGATAGTTCTCAGCCTTAAACCAGAAACAGGCAGCTCGTTTCCTGTGCCAGCATAAATATTTTTATGACAAATCAGATGTTCGGGCACTCGTGATGAATCAGAGGAACTTATCTGGGATAAAACTGAACATTCTTTTTGCCATTTTATTTTTAACTTGGAGCAGCTCCACAAATTACATTATACAGTGACCACTCTTGCTGGGCCAAAGAATAGAAACAAAAGGACTTGATTGTCTTTTTTAGCAGTAGAACATTTTGTGCCAGTTCAGGCTGGTTAAGTCTGTAGCATTGGTTCCTCTCTGCTGTCCCTGTCTCTGTTCACATGCAAGTGCAGTATGCTGACACTCATTTAATCAGCATTTTAAACACTAACCTCAACTATCTTTCCTTTGTGCATTTCTCCAATTAAACAGGAATAGAACAGAGATTTAATTTCCAGTGCTAAATGCAGAATACTTTCAGAGTTTGTTCAGTAGTTCTCTTTTGATACCTGCTTTTTTTCAATGTGCTTGATCATTCCTAAAATTAAAAAAAGTGCCCAAGTAATGCAGCAGCATGCCGTTATACCTGTTTGTTACAGAAATTCCTGGACACTTTAAAGTGTCCTTTAGAATACTTTTGGACCTCCCTTTTAAATTATTCTGTCTAAAAGTAGTCTCTCAATAGAGTTTCTTGGAAAACCCAGAGCTGTATGTTTTGTTTTTACAGGGGTGGTTAAACGAATTATTCCAGCAGTAGCTTCTACAAATGCAGTAATTGCAGGTATGCTGAAAGAACTCATTTCACTTCTGCTTTACTGACTTGAGAGTTTTGTGGGGCAACAGTTTGGAATTGAGAACTAGGAGAGGATAATTTTTAAGTGTGTCTGATTTATTTTTGCAATCTCATTTCTGTTTTCCTTAGAGAAACTGTATGTGACTGGATAGAGAGCAAAAGCATTTAAGACTGGAGAGAAAAATTGAAAATCACAATATATAGGCTTGACATAGTCTCAGCTTAGTGCCAAATCTATGATGTAAACGTACAGAACTACCAGCTGCCTTCAGATGTTTATTTTTCTCTTTATAGATTGTTATACTTGATTGTTTTTGTCACTTTGGTACAACTGTGTGATGTCTGCATGTCTGGTAGAGTTAGGTAACGAAATTTTTTTTTCTCATTCCAGCTGTTTGTGCCACTGAAGTTTTTAAAATAGCCACAAGGTATTTAATTTCTTATTGATTACAGACATGATTTCCAGCAGAATGCCATGTATCAACACTGACATATTTGTTATTACAGTGCATATGTTCCTCTTAACAACTACTTGGTGTTCAATGATGTGGATGGATTATATACATACAGTTTTGAAGCTGAAAGAAAGGTTAGTGCCATTAAAGGCTTGAAGGGTTGTTTCCTTGATTTGTATTTATGCACTCTGTGTGTGTTTCTGAACCTCAGTATTGAATCAATTGGCCCTTAGTACTGGGTAATAATATTTCTGAAGTTTTAAAAGTGGAAACTACAGCATTAAGGGTCTGCTGCTTCTGCAGAGTAGAACTACAAAATAAGATCCTCAAACCTAAGATGACTCATGGGCAGATCTTCTCAAAAAGAGGTGATGGCAAAAATTGATCTGAAAGTTTCTAGTATTGGTTTTTATGTCAGATGAAATTTGTCATTCGTAAAAACTTAAGTGCTGTTGGGAGTCAATCAGTGACAGACTTCAGAAGGAAACAAATTTTGTCATTAATATTTGCAACTATTAATATTTCTAGAGCTAAAACTTGAAAAAACCACGACACAAACACGTTTGAGACCTTACTAGCAGCATTTCTAAAATCATCTTTAACACAATGTATTCCTGTGCTGTTTTGTGGTAGGAGAACTGTCCAGCCTGCAGCCAGCTTCCCCAAAACATAGAGATTTCCCCATCAGCTAAATTACAGGAGATCCTGGATTACTTGACAAATAATGCTTCATTGTAAGTTGCAACCATTCTGACTAATTTGATAATTTGTTAGTTCAGTACTTAAAAAAGATGATTTCTAGATATATTTTTAACCTGATTGCCTGGTTTGTGTTTTGCTTGTTTATTTGTTTTAAATGTTTTATATATAGGCAGATGAAATCTCCTGCAATCACAGCAACTATGTATGGAGGAAATAAAACACTTTATTTACAGGTAATCTAAACATACATAATTGACTGTAATATTCTGAATTTGCTTAAATTTACTGAATTTGAAAAAAAATCTGGCTTTTTTTTTTTAATTTGCAGACAGTAGCTTCAATTGAAGAAAGAACAAGGCCAAATCTTTCCAAGACACTAAAAGGTATCATGGAGCTGTCAGGTGTAGATTTTCGAGTTAGAGAAAGTCAATTTCACTCCTCTGTGTGGATATTTAGCTTTATCTTGCATTATGCAGGAGAATGTGCTTCATTGTCCTTTTACATTCAATACACATTCAATTTTGGTTTCACATTTCTCAGGTATATCAGTTGCTTAAAGGTAAAGTGCAGGCAGATGCACAGAACATTGCAACAAAGCAACAAAATAACAGCTGTAAATTAAACACACTTCTGCAGAGTTTTATATGTATTTCTCAACAAGGTCTGTTTCCTGGTTAAATTGGATTAATATTAATTTAGCCAGTGAGCTGTTTGTAGCTGTATTTCATCATATTTACAGTTTATGGGAATAGCATTTCTAATTTTTTTGGCTTCTTGAAAAGGCAAAGCACATGAGTTTAATTAAATTAATTAAGCTTTTCTTTCTGTTTCAGAACTGGGGCTTGTGGATGGCCAGGAACTTGCAGTTGCTGATGTTACTACACCACAGACTATGTTGTTCAAGCTTCACTTTACCACTTAATTTATTCATCAGTAAAGTGCAAATACAGCAAGAGAAACCACCTTATAAAACAAACATACTCTGTTGGTGTTAAAGCAGCCTGAAATGTTCCTGTTAGTGCCAGCATGGTTGAAGGTTAGGAAATCTAAATGAATCACCATTATTTCAGAATTGTATGTAGAAGCCAATATTTGGTGGATTATATTTGTATAAATGCTTATTCATGTACAGACCTCTGATGTATAGAAGTACACTTTTCTCTGGTTTTGTTGTCAAAATGTTCATGCTAATGTACTCTCAAACACATGGAACTTTAAGATGGCCAAAAGTCTTGTTTTCAACATGTGTGCACACATATATGCAAAGAAAAAATGTTTTTAAAAGGAACCACAACGATCTGGTTTTAACTTGTAGCACTCCTGAGACTTACTGAGTCACCTTATACCAAAGGAGGCAGTAGATTAAAATTAGCATTTCCCTCTTATTTGATATTGATCTGATCAATTTTATGGAAGGTGTTAAATATGGAAGAGATGGCTTTGTTTACAGGAAACACAAAAGGAGAAAATGATCAGCTGTACATGAAAATCCAGATGTGTCTCCTCACTGTCCTCAAGCAGCCACCATGCACAGCATTGCAAGATAATGTTCAAATATCATTGGTGCTGTTAAGGTATTTATTAATAAAAAAATCAGAAAGACACCTGAGTTTGTGGCTTTTCTATGGACATTGAAGAGCATTTATAACTTCCATTAAAAAAATCTGGGGCATCATTTCGCTGCTTTAGTCAGACTTGAGCAGTGCCAGGTGCCACAACCTGAATAGTCTAGTCTGATGTGAAAATTCTAGTGAACGTGAAGGAAAATTCTAGTCTGATGTGTTAGCTGTGTTTGAAGCTTACAATTTTTAAACTCTGAATTGCATAATTTAAAAGGACAAGGAGTAGTGGGTACAAATTGAACGAGGGGGAAATAGGGGGATAAGACAAGGAGTAGTGTGTACAGATTGAGTGAGGGGAGATAGGGGGATAGGACAAGGAGTAATAGGTACAAATTGAACGAGGGGAGATAGGACAAGGTGTAGCGGGTACAAACTGGAAAAGGGGAAATTTAGTCTAGATACTCAGAATAAATTCTTTCCTGTGTGAGTAGTGAGGGGCTGGCACAGGTTGCCCAGAGAAGCTGTGGCTGCCCCACCCCTGGTAGTGTTCCAGGCCAGGTCGGACGGGGCTTGGAGCGGGAGGTGTCCGTGCCCCGGCAGGGACTGGAGCCGGCTGCTCTCTAAAATCCCTCCTAGCCCTTGAACTGGAGGCGCTGTGAGGGCGGGCGCGGTGCCGGTCCCGCCTCCCGGACGTGTCGGGCCGGACGCGGCTGCGCCGGGCCCGGGTGCGACGTGGATCCGGCGGCGCCTGCGCGGGGCCCGCTCGCTCGGCTCCGCTCCGCTCCGCTGCTCTCCCTCAGCGCCGGCCCGGCCCGGCCCGGCCCGGCCCCGCCGGCAGCGGGGACAGCCGCGGAGCCGCCGAGGATGAGCTGGTTCAACGCCTCGCAGCTGTCCAGCTTCGCCAAGCAGGCGCTGTCGCAGGCGCAGAAATCCATCGACCGGGTGCTGGACATCCAGGCCGAGGAGAGCCCCTGGCCCGACGCCGTCATCCCCGACTACGGTGACGGTAAGGGCAGATCCTGCCGAGCCTCGGGGCCCTTCGGCCCGCCGGCCTCCTGTGCTGTGTCCGCCTTCCCTTGGGGAGGTTTAACCGGCTCCTCGTCCAAAAGCCTGGTTTATATAATTCACAGCCCCCCGGTTTATATAATCCACGTTCTGCTCCCTCCCGCGCCCCCCGTGCGGGGTGATGCCGGAACGAAGCCGGGGCAGGCTCAGCTCGGTGTCACCAGTCTCCTGCTTTTATAGCATGGGTAGCACTGAGCTTCGTGTCCCTGCTTCTCGAGGCGTTATCTATTTATTTATTTTTTTCCTGAGTGGCTAATGACTAGGAAGAGCTCCTCAATAATAAAAAAGGAGGAATCATGCTCTTTTCAGGCGCTTGCATGGGTTTGCTCTTTGCAATAGGAAGAGCGGAGTAGAAGCTGAAAGCCTGGTCCGTGTAAACCAAATGAAGTTTCCACTTTTTATGGCTTCCAGTTCATAACCCTCCAACATCTGTTGAAAGGAATGTGCTGCTGGAAAAGTTGTCATGGCTGTGAGGAAGTGTCTCCCCTGTGCATGTGCTAATGGAGAACCTGAAGGAATGGTCAACCCTAAGCTGCTGTTTGGAAGGGAAAGAGCAAAAAGGAAACCTCTTATTAGAAACTCCCGCCAAAATAATATCTTAAAGATAATAATAATACAAAAAAAAAAAAAAAAAGGGCAACTAAGGCATCTGGAGTCAGTGTCATTGTTACAACTATATCTAGGAGAACTACGTGTATTTGGAAGAGGAGGAAGTTATTTCCAGGTGAAGCCACAGTGGAGTGAGATTTCTGAAAGCTGTAGCAACTGAAAATGTTTTCCAGGTTGGTTGCTCAGCAGAGGTCAGTTTGGAATGTCTTTGTCCCTTTGAGGGCTTGGCAGTCATGTAAATAGTCTGGTGTCATCTTAAAATGCAAGAATTGTTAAGGGAAGACTTTTGTCATGCTTAATTTCTCAAAGCTTTAGACTTGTCCAATCGTTTTTTAAATGTGGTTTATATCTTAGTATTTATGGTAGTTCTGTAATTCATAAGAAGAGCAGCAAAGATCAGCCTGCATCTGGTTTTCAGGGAAAACATACTTGTTTTTTAGATGTCAAAATATATTCTGAATGTTACAGTTAACTCAGAGCTTTTTTTTTCTGAAGCTGTTGAATCATGGACAAGGTAGCAATAAGTCAGATGCCTGTAGTAATAAATCACACATTTGTAGTATTTTGGGCAATGAAAACAGTAATTATCTGAATTTGAGAATTGAGGCCAACAGCTATCAACTGTTCTGAAAGTGGAAGCCAGCTTTAAATATTGTAACTCAGTGTTTTTAATAGATGCTGCTTATAGAGAGTTTGTTTTTAAGTAGCCTGAAATAGTTATGTTATCCAGATTATGTTTGTAGGTACAAAATTGGATATTTTTTTTATTTCTCTTTCTAACTTCAGATGCTACTGAAATTTGATGTTGAAATTCTTGTTCTTGCTGTTGACAGGTCCTGGAAAACCTGCAAGAAATACAATAATGGGAATTGTTGATGTTGTTTTAGGGCAGTTTCAGAACTGAACAATTCAATATTTCTCTACAAAAGAAAATTCTCAGCTGGGCTGCTGCTGATTTTTATTGTCAGCTCCATGCTGATGCTCGATGTATGAGGAAAAATGAAGTCTGTCAGAAACTGAAGGGCAAGAACCCTTCTTACAGTGTAAATTCTGCAAATACTTAAAGCTTTTCCCCTCTGTTTTCAGTAATGGTGTGGGAAGTGTTTATGTGCTACTTGCAGATAACTTTTAAGACCTTTCCTCCTCCTTTTTTAATCAGTATAATTCACTTAACTACAGCTTTTCAGGTTGCATTTCTTGAACTCCTTTTACTGTAGGGAAGCAGGAGGTCACATTTGCATTTGCTTGTAGCCTTCAAAGTGTTTTTCTTGCCTATCTCCCTTTTTTCCTTATTTTTTTAGGAACAAATTCTCTCATAAGTGGAGGATGGGACACATCTTCCTGGGGCTTGAGCTCAAATACAGAACCCCAGAATCAGCCAGTATCACCCACAGCCATCACAAAGCCTGTGAGGAGGACGGTAGTGGATGAATCTGAAAACTTCTTCAGTGCCTTTCTCTCCCCTACAGACGTTCAAAGCATACAGAAAAACCCAGTGGTGTCTAAACCTCCAGCTAAATCACAGCGACCCAAAGAGGAGGTGAAAAGCACTTTAAAGGAGTCTCAACACTCCAGTCAGCTGGAAGGGCCAGTGACAACAGAGGCTGAAGTGAAGGATTCCTCCGTGACTATCCTGGACTTGAAAAGCCTTGATATTCCCAAGGAGAAATTAGAAGAGAATGCTGTACTCAAATCTGATGCCCAGCATGAAGCAAGCACAAATGAAGTTACTGACCAGAAGGTGTCTACTCTAAATTTTGAAGAACCTGAAGATTCTCCTACCGAAAAATCCAGTGTAGGAGGGGATGGAGCAGCAGGTGCACCTGAGGGCACATCGCAGCCCCTTGGAGCAGGCACCAAAGACCTGGGTTTGGAAGGGAAGGAGAGAAAGACTGAGGACAGACAAAGCAATACCCCATCACCTCCCATCAGCACCTTCTCCTCAGGCACTTCCACAACGAGTGATATTGAAGTTCTGGACCACGAAAGTGTGATAAGTGAGAGCTCAGTAAGTTCCAGACAAGAAGCTGCAGATTCAAAATCCACCCTTCACCTGATGCAGACATCGTTCCAGCTCTTATCCACGTCTGCCTGTGCGGATTATAATCGCTTAGATGACTTCCAGAAAATGACTGAGAGCTGTGGCTCCTCGGATGCTTTTGAAAGAATTGATTCATTCAGTGTGCAGTCCTTGGATAGCAGGAGTGTCAGTGAAATAAATTCAGATGATGAGTTATCAGGCAGGGCTTCTGCTTCAGCGCCTATTGCTGTCAGTCCTTCCGTGCCAAAGACAGAAACGGTTGACACCCCGAAAAATAAATCTGAAAACTTGAATGATGCTCCTGTGTTACATGCTGAGGAAGCTGAGATGGAAGAGAGTGGGAGAAGTGCAACCCCTGTTAATTCTGAGCAGCCAGATGTTGTTTTGGTTGCTGCTGTGCAAACTGTTGAAGAACAGGTTGTGAAGGAGGAGGCTGAGCCCCAGCAGGATGCTGGGGAACAATTGGTAGAAGAGGACACTGAGAAGCAAGAGCTTAAAAAGGCAAGTAAAACATATATTGTAAACACACCTTTTAATTGCAAATGGGACTCCTGACTTTTTCTTACATTTTCCTGTATCCCTGCTTATTTGTATATTTGCTTAACCTGTATATCAGCTTATTTCAATGAATTATTCGATGCTGAACTATCTGACCCTGTAGAAAGCTGTCCCTGATATCCTGCAGTGGAACAGTACTGGTAAAATTTCTGATCAGATAGTTGTAGGTTTCGCCTGATCCATCTGGTTTTCATTGTTGTGAATTGTGAGTAGGGGTGGCAAACAGGAAGCCTAATAGGTCAAATGTGTTATTTTAATTCTTTGGTCTTTATTTGTATATTTTCTTGTATTTTTGTTGTTTATCTATATTCAGCTTTCTAAATCTAGTATTAAGAAAATTATTTTGAGGATGTGTTAAGAGCTTTTGACCCTGAGTGAAAGTTTTCTTCCCTCATCTGAGCCTATTCCTCTGCTTTGTGCTAATGTTTCACAGAAGAGACCTTGCCATAGAAATTATTCTGTAAAGAACATTGGGAGTCTTAATGCTTAATGTAAGCCATAGTTTTATAGACTATCAGCTCTAGTTAAAAACTTTAGTGTATAATTAAATATCACTGTTGATGATTTTTTTGAGGAGCTTATTTGAGCCACATGTGCTGATTTAGTAGGATTTCTACACCTGTAGAAAACAGGTGTCTTTATGTTCAAGTGTGTGGCAGAAACATGGTAATCCTCACCGACTTCTGCCTCAAATTCCTGAAAACATTGGCCAGTTCAATTTTAAATAATCTTATGAGGGAATGGGATGGGGGAAAGGGAAAGCCTGCCTCTTGTGATTTAATTGTCCCATTCATCTGGTCTTTTATTTATAAAATCTCCAGATGATTGATTCATTAACTGAGAAGCTGGAGAAGAGGGAAATACAATTATTAAGTACTAGTAAAGAAAGGGCTCGCTTGGAAGAAGCTTATGATAACCTCAAAGAGTAAGTATGAAAATACACTCAGTGTTGTCACTGTGACTTTGCTGTAATAAAATCTTAGATAATAGATAAAACAAGGAGCTTTATGACTGGAGCAAAGGTTCCAGGGGAAGTGTTGCACTGTTTGGGAAAGGTGGAAATAATGATTACATGTGCTGTCATGGGATTTTTTTAAAGACGTATTAGTTAATGGGGCCAAAATCTCTTTTGGGAAGAGGTTGGGAAAAGATTTTTCAGTAAGCAAGCAGTAGGAATGACAAATGTGGAGAATCAGTCTTGCTTGCTAATAAAGATCTTTCTTATAAGACTGGATTCAGCTATTAAGAGAGACTGGCTTTCCTGATAGAAAGGGATGAACCTGATTTACTAAGAAATTTCTTGGCTAAAATGTAGGCAGTGAAAGTATGGTAGAAGGGCTGGTTGTAGGGAAAAACCTGAAATTATTTTATTTGGTTAAAAGGGGAAAAAATGGAAAGTTGTATTACCAGGTCGTTGATCAAATATTGAGTTATAAAATTTACAGATACATGATGCTCTTGTTTAATGACTAAATTGATTGTAACTTAAAAAATAAATTGAATCATTTACCCTTTATATGATACAGATTATGGTTAATTAAAAAGGACTTTATCAAGGGGCAAAACATTTAAGATAAATCAAGCATTTAGTTGTTTTCATGGGTAAACTACTGAATTAATAAAGATCTTTGATTAGGACTTCTATTAGAGATGTGAGGGTTTTTGACTTTTGCTTATGTGTGATTCAACTAAAATACTTTTTAAAAGCATTTAAGACAACCTGTTGCAAACTGTTTGGAGTGTCACATAAGTGTGCCACTGTTCTGAAATGTTCGTTTTAAATGCAGTGAAATGTTTCGAATGAAAGAAGAGAGCAGCAGCCTTTCCTCTCTCAAAGAGGAGTTTGCTCAGCGAATTGCAGATGCTGAGAAGAAGCTCCAACTGGCCTGCAAAGAGAGAGATGCAGCTAAAAAGGTAATTTGGTTTTTTTAAATGAAATTAATATTTATTGGTTTATGACACGACTCAATTTCTTGAGGAAAACTGGAAAAGCATGAGGCTGTAAGTAACCAGCATGAGCTGTTTCCTGCCATCCAGGCTACTTGGTGTTCACATCTCTGTTCTTGCATCCATGCTGTGAACCAGCTTAGGGAACTCATTTAAGTTGGTCTGGTTTGGAAAAAAAAAGAGATTTAATGTGTGCTCTCATTCACCTTGGACCAAATATATATTTGCAGTGGTGAGGGAGAATGGTCTGGGGATGTGAGGAAGGGGTGGAGAATGGGAATGGCTTCTTTAGAGGATTAACTGGTAGGAAAATTAAGGGTTGATGACAGATTGATTTGGAACAAGCAAAGAAATCTACAGCAGCAAAGTTTATGGGGTTTAAATGTCCTTGACCTGATGTCACAGCATTTCATTTCTCTAGCTTAATGCAAAAAGGAAACTCAAATCTGACTGGAAAACAAATGTTTTTCAGCTGCTTGTCACTCTGTTGACACAGCAGTGAGTTGAACTAGAAAAATTATTCAGTACCTACACGTGAATAGGCCAGGTTGTTTTTTTTTCTGTTGCAAAAGTTTCAAGAAAATTAAATGGATGAGGAGGTTGGAACAAATTGCGCAGGGTATTTACGGAGTCTCAATCCTTGGAGGTTTTTAAAACTTGGTGCAATAAGGCTCTGAGCAATCTGTTTTGATCAGATAATCTCCAGAGTTCCCTTCCAACCTAAATTGTTTTCCAAGCAAAGCCTTTTGAGAGGAATGGCAGAAGAAGAAGGTGATCAGTGTAACTCACTCTGTGTTTTTCCCTACATGTATTTTAATAAACAGTCCTAAGTATTTTATCCTATTATTTAGGAAGTAAAGACTGTTAAAGAAGAATTGGCTACTAGGCTTAATACCAATGAAACTGCTGAATTACTGAAAGAAAAAGAAGAGCAAATCAAAGGATTAATGGAGGAAGGTGAGAACTTTTTTTTTGGTAGTAAAAATGTGTAGAAGAGTTGGAAATGTACTGGCCTTGCATACTTTGTGTGGGGAAAAAGTGCTAAATTTGAGCATGTTGGATGTTTCTGAGCGTTTGAAGCATTTAGTGAGTAGCAAAGAGCAATAGGAGGGGTCAGGCAGGTACACATGGCTGGAAAGGTGCTTCCTGCAAGATACATTAAAAGTCCTGAGAGATAAAACCAGTGTGTGCAGAACAACATTCCATGTTCCATTCAGAAGAAATCTAACAAGGGCTTTATTCATGGCATTTCTGCAGTGTCTCCTTTAATACTTTTTAATTTTGGAAGTAAAATATAGATACTAAATGAGAAGGTAATTTTATATAATTTATATAATAGAGAGAATCCACAGAATATCACCACTGTGCACTCGCTTCATGTTCAATTTCTTCACAGGAGAAAAGCTTTCCAAGCAGCAGCTGCACAATTCCAACATTATTAAGAAATTAAGAGCCAAAGAGAAAGAGAGAGAAAATACTAACACGAAACAGAGCAAAAAGATTAAGGAATTGGAAGAGGAGTTGCAGCATTTAAAACAGGTGAGATATTTGTTAACTTTCTTTATTTTTTAAGCTTTATATATTAGCTGAAAAATGGCATTTTGGGAGGCCTCTTGATAAATTGATATTTTTTATTTTCTGGAGACTTTTCTGTTTCATAGAATCCCAGAATGGTTTGCTTAGAAGGGACCCTAAAGCTAATCCAGCCCCCTCTGCCATGGGCAGGGACATTTTCCACTATCCCAGGTTGCTCCAAGCCCTGTCCAACCTGGCCTTGGACACTTCCAGGAATGGGGTAGCCACAGCTTCTCTGGGCACACTGTGCCAGGGTCTCACCATTTCACATTATTGGAGCACTGAGCTGTGATTTATGTGTGTGCTCCTTATAAAACTACAGTGAGGGATCTTCTCAGCTGCCTGTTTGCACTTGCATGGCTGTTACCATGTGAACTGGAAAAACTGTACCACCAAAATTTGGGCAGTTAATGACCGAGTCAAGACCTTACAAATTTCAGACCCGGGATGTGGAGTTGTGGTGAAGAGCAGCTCCCTCCTCTGGGGAAGGCAGGGAAGCAAAACCTTTCTCTTTTTGCCAAGTGTTAGATGGGCTTAATCACTTTATCCCAAATTGGTTGCCACTGTCGTCACTGTCCTCAGGCTGCGTTGTCAGCCCCAGGTCCTGGGGTTTGTTTCATGTTTCTTGTTTGCACTGACAGGTGCTTGATGGCAAGGAAGACCTTGAGAAGCAGCATCGAGACAGCATTAAACAACTGAACAGTGTTGTGGAGAGACAAGAAAAGGACCTTGCTAAACTTCAGGCAGAAGTGGAGGAGCTTGAAGAAAGGAACAGGAGTGTGCAGGCAGCACTCGACAGTGCATACAAGTAAGGAAAGTGATTACACCTTCAGATTGTGGCTCTTTCTTGTGCAATGCTTGTGAAATATTTAAATGTAACAAAGTTATTTGCCAAGATGCTGTTGGCATTTAAATATACTGGGGTTTGTTTATTTGTTTGTTTGTTTGTTTTCTCCCCAGGGAACTTGCAGATCTTCATAAAGCTAATGCTACAAAGGACAGTGAGGCTCAGGAAGCAGCCCTAAGTCGGGAAATGAAGGCAAAGGAAGAGCTTGGCTTAGCACTGGAAAAGGCCCAGGAGGAGGCTCGGCAGCAACAGGAAGCTTTGGCAATTCAGGTGGGTCTGAAATGCAGTCAATAAACTCATTAATTCAACAAGTGACTGTACTGAGGTGCTGTGTACACCTGATGTAATGAACCAGGCAGAACTCGTTTTTGTGTACTTAGCAAATACACAGAGGATTTCTTCCTCAAGGAACTTGTTCCACGTTAAGGGATGATTGTGCTAACCTTTAAAATACTAATTTTATTTGAAGGTACTTATAATTTTACTTGTCTAAATGAAATTACTTAGATAGGCTCTATGTTAAGTTTGTAGCACTCTTACCTCTTAGAATTTTTAGCGAAAAATAAATCAGTGTAACTATTTGTGTGTATGCAAAAATGAAGCCTTTAAATGTAAACAAACATATCCTATCTAACACTGTTTGAAAATGGTGTGGGACTGTGGCAAGGAATAGGTGATGATAAAAGTTTTGGCAAGAGTTTAGTAACAATTTCTTGTTTATTTAGGTGGCAGACCTGAGGCTGGCACTGCAACGTGCAGAGCAGCAGGCAGCAAGAAAAGAAGATTATTTACGGCAGGAAATAGGTGAACTACAACAGGTACTATAACAAACAGATGATGCCAACTTGCATCTGCAAGGAGGACTTCCAAAAACCCAAAAATAAAATGCTGCCATGACATAAACAGCCTGAGAGGCTTTGTTTTCTTGGTTACCTGCAGTGGTTTTCCTTTACAGAGGAGCAATAAAAATATTAATGGAAATGTTTTTTTTAAATCACATAGTGGAAAAAATGTCATAATTTTTAATGATGCCTCTTAAATAGAATGCTGTCCTTTTTAAACACAAGACAAAATACAGACATAAATTTTGTGATAGCTGTCTAAAATTGCTGGCAAATACACTTTTGAATGACTCTTTATTTGCTTCTTAAGAGTATTTTTATTTTTCTTAAGGACCAGAATATAGATTGTTGCCAAAATGTTTCAAACTATGTCTAGAGCTCTGGAATTTCTGGGCCCTTGCTCTATTATCTAAAAATATTTAAGTTCTCTCTTGGAATTTCACACTTGACTGTGAGTTTGAACCACATGAATGTTAGATTGTAAAGCAGCTTCTATTTATTTAGATGAATTCTATATGAATCTTTCAATCCATCATATGACTTTAATTATATTTATCATTTCAGAGACTCCAAGAAGCAGAGGGCAGGAACCAAGAGCTGAGCCAAAGTGTCACCTCTGCTACACGGCCCCTTCTGCGGCAGATAGAGAACCTGCAGGCCACGCTGGGAGCACAGACCTCTGCATGGGAAAAACTGGAAAAGAACCTTTCTGACAGGCTGGGTAAGATGGTTTAGCTTTTACTCAGCTGTGAGGCTCTGAGTGAAGATGTGAGATGTGTGAAGGTAAATCCAAAGAGCTTAATCTTTGCCCAAAGTGTAGATGGTGGATGAGGAGAGATGAGCACCAAATGCTTTCCTGTAAGGAAATTATGTGTTGGGGGGGTTATGCCAAGATTCTTGGACAGGTAATCCATCATCCACTGCTTCTCTGTAAAACACACTCTTAACACAAGATTGTAAGGTGCACATGTCCTTACAGCATCTAAGGGCATTGAGACACTGAAAGTATTCCAGTATGGAGACTGATGCTGAGATGCCAAATTGTAGTTTGGAATCACTTACCTAACTGCATAGGTGATAATACATATATTGTTTGATACAGTAGTAACCTATAATTTTAAATGAAAAATACATTAAAAGCCCAAAAGTGGACCCAAAGAAATTATTTCCTTTCTGGAGGCAATCTGTGGTTGTATATTGTATTCTGAAAGAGTCTGAAATCTCTTCATTCTGCATTGCTTTAATCCTCTGTCTGTGTATGGAAAATATTTAATTTCCTTTACAAAAGAAAACAAGATGTGTTTTTTAACAAACATTAGTTGCATATTAAAAAAACCCTCTAATTCAATTTTGATGTAAAAGTAAATGGCTCATATTCTAGGTGTTTAATCAAAAAAGGTTAAATTCCATGCTTTTCTTACTTATTTACTTCTATTAGGTGAGTCTCAAACTCTTCTAGCAGCAGCTGCTGAGAGAGAACGGGCTGCTACAGAAGAACTTCTTGCTAATAAAATTCAGATGTCTTCATCTGAATCTCAAAATAGTCTTTTAAGGCAAGAAAATACCCGTCTTCAGGCTCAGCTGGAAGTGGAGAGAAACAAATTGAAGAAAATGGAAAATGAAAACAGCAGGTGAGTTCGTTTTTGGTTAACAGCATTTCTTTATAACTGTAGTGAAATGGAGTATTGATATGAGTCTGCAACATGTTGGCAGAATGTTACAAAAATGTTTTTAAGGATACTTTGTTTCATGCTAAAGATTGAAGAGTGTTACATTCATAACATTTTGTAGCTTTGCAGCTGTGTTTGTTTTAAAAGCATCTGAATCTACAGAGAATAGAAGAAAGAATACTTGTTTAGTGACTTCTTTCCTTCCTCCATGCAGGTATGAGGTTGAACTAGAAGGGCTCAAAGATGAGTATGCAAAAACCTTGGAAGATGCAAAGAAAGAAAAGGTATTGCCTAGTTCAGCTTTAATCTCTGTTGTGGCTGAAATCTGAGCTAGCAGGAGATTAAAAGCTTGTATTTATCTTTGCAGGCACTGCTGGCTACTCAGTTAGAAATGGAGAAGATGAAAGTCGAACAGGAGAGGAAGAAGGCTATTCTTGTGCAAGAAGCAGCAAAGGAGAAGGTGCCAAAACCTAACATTTCTAAGTCTTACTGATATTGTCTTTATTTTAGAGATATCCATACCTGAAACTTTTAGTAGCTGACAGTATCTTTCCAGGTGTTGTACTAGACTCACTGAAATAAGTTTTGAGTAAGTCTAACCTGAGAAGAGGTAAAATATGGATTGTTGTCTTAATTCTCTGTGTTCTTTGAACACTCTTGATCCTTTTTCTTCTATAGCTGCTTGTTTTCTTTGCTTAGACTACCAGCATTGCTGCCACTGAATTCCTGTTTTGTTTCACATGACTGTATGTAATGTTCCACATGCTTTCCAGCTGAAGTCACAAGTCACAGAACAATCCTCAATAGTCATTAAATTCATTACCACTAATTAGCAGTTAGTATTCAAGTAAAACTATTTCTGTTGTTGTTCCTTACTGTCTCCAGTCCTAAAATCTAAGTGCTTTCCCCTTCAGAGGTTAGTATGCTTGTAGATGCTGCCTGGAAAAAGGGGCCAGCCTGTTTGGAAGAGGAATCAGTAAATTATTAGCATGTGAAAAATCCTGGAATTTAATTCATACATTTTATTTTAAAAGAAGAAAAAGGCCTTAACATTTGTTTTAAGAAGAGATATTCTTCTGGCTGTGAGATATTCTTTCTTTGATACATCTGGACATAAAAAACTGCCTCTGAGTCTCTCTTGACTACCTGAAAGAATATCTTTTTTTGGTGTAATTTGCAGCTTCTATCATCATTTCCTGAAGGGTCTGAGATCTTGCAAATAGGCTGTGTTACAGCACAGAAATTCTTTGTTGTTGAACTTTCATATGCTTTAGGTATGGGGCAAGTAGGAAATCTATCACATAGTGTACTCTAGCTGTTTGGTGGAAAAGGGAGGCTGTTTATAGAGTCTCTTTTAGCATGTTCTGAACATTTTTTCTTTTTCTAACTGCTGATAATGCATGTCTTTGTTTGTTTTGAAGGACCGAAAATCATTTACAGTTGAAACTGTATCAAGTACTCCATCAATGTCCCGCTCCAGTTCCATGAGTGGGGTGGACATGGCAGGTCTTCAGACCTCTTTCCTCTCACAGGTAGGACAGATCACCTATAATTGCTTCTTTCTTCTTGACAGACCACTTACTTTCCTTCTCAAGAACTTCTAGTAAGGTAGAAAATGACTCTTCAAGAGTGTATTTGCCTTAGACAAGGTAACATCCAGTGCAGAAACATGTAAAGACACCTGCTTACAAGTTGTGTGTGGTTGTAAAGCATACAATTGGTTTGTTTTTACTTGTGCTCACTTGGCAGCATCACTGACTGCTGTACTCTGCTGTCTCCTACTGCTGCTCCTTCCCTGTCAGTCCAGTTCATGCTGCCAGCATTAAATGGCACCTGTGTAAGTGTCAGGAAAACTTGGCAGTAGGGAGCTATCCCAAATTGTACCTATTCACTTCAGGATTTTGTTTTGAAAACAAGCTTTAATGCTTGCCTAGCACAGTGTAATTTTAAATCTTAAATTATGTCATATTTAGGAGAGGGAAGATTCCAAAAGAGGCATGTTTTTGTCTAATTTTCATCTTCTCTAACCTTCTGTTTGTAGGATGATCCTCATGATCACTCCTTTGGACCAATAGCTACCAGTGGGAGCAATCTCTATGATGCAATAAGGATGGGATCAGGTTCAAGTATCATTGAAAACCTACAGTCACAGCTAAAACTAAGAGAAGGAGAGATTTCACATCTACAGGTACCTTTTCAGAAAGCTTGGTCAGTGTTATGATAATTCTGTGAACCAGTACAGCTGTGAAGGGATAAGCATGAGAAGGATATGTTGGTTCCTTTTTTGTTTTGGCAAGGACCTATCCCTTATCTGTCTGAAAAGTAAAAAAGCCCAGGACACTGATATTTGAGGAGAAAGTGAGAGTGGATCTGAGATGTGCTGTTTCAGTCTGGCTTAAGAATAAGCCTTAATTATTGTGTATCTTAATATGGTGTTTTATAAATAAAGTAAATTCTTTCCTTCTCTTCCTTGTTATTTGTGTTTACCTTAGCTGGAAATTGGAAACCTGGAGAAAACTCGATCAATAATGGCAGAAGAGCTGGTTAAGTTAACAAATCAAAATGATGAACTTGAAGAAAAAGTGAAAGAAATACCCAAATTACGCACACAGTTAAAGGTCAGTGCATTTCTGGTGTAAATCCATTGTAAAATGTAGATAATTGCATTTCTTTTGGAATAGTCCTATCAGTTTAGGAGTATATTCAGATCTGTCTCTAAGTATAAGTGATTGAAGAGCCTCTTTTTTGTTTTGGTGGGTTTTTTTAAATATAGTAGAATCTAAGAATGCCCACTCCATGGTTAGGGAGTCACTTCAAAACACAGTTGTTGGAAACATGTGCTATGCATAAGAGTCTGTGCTAAATCAGGGAGAGACCATTTTGGTTTCTATCATTCAGGCACTTGTCTGGAACTGGATTTTTTTTAGTAGAGGGAGGGTTTTGATAAATACCATGGGTTTATGAGAGGTTGATCCAGAAGCTGAATATGTGTCCAGTAGAGATACAGGAAATAAGAAAAATTATTGAATCCTATTGAATTGAAACTGAAATATTTGAAAAAGTTTTGGAATAATTTTTGAATACAGAGTGTTCAATTTTCTCATGAAACATTTCCCAAATGGGTCATTCCTGTAAGTAAAACAGTGCAGTTTTCAAACTGACTTTAATGCTTACAGCAACTGAACTTCAAGATGCTTCAGTATGTCCTCTGAAACTAGCACTAATTCTTTTTAGGATATTTGGAATGTCTTCCTTTAACATCTAGAATATAAATCTAGCTTTATTCGAAGTACTTTTGAAGAGTTTACTGTGTGCATCACTGTAGTTACACTTTGGTGAGGCAATGCTGCACTTACTTCCCCTGGTAGTGTAAAACTGTCCCAGCAGCAGCTTGCTTGAAGCTGGAAACCCAGTGAGATAACAAAGTGTGTCCTTGCAGGATTTGGATCAGAGGTACAACACCATTCTCCAGATGTATGGGGAGAAGGCAGAGGAGGCTGAGGAGCTCCGACTGGATCTGGAAGATGTGAAAAACATGTACAAGACTCAGATAGATGAACTTTTAAAACAAAGACAAAATTAATTCCTCATGGAACTCTTAACACTAGATGGTGACAGACTGTAAAGATAACTGTTTATGTAAATGCTGAATTTAAATGTCTTGTAAAAAAACCCTGTATTATAGAAAATGTGACTATATAATAGAGTTCATATGTTGACAGAAGAATCAATGCTTTAAGTGTCCTGTTCTGTCTGCAGTTAAATTATTTGTGCAATATTTAATTTTTTTCTTCAGTCATCCCTTTATTTAATTTTTTCTAAATGGTGGGTCATTTCACACAAACAGCAGAAATTATGGTTGTTGGTTTCTCGTGAGACAGCACTGGAAGACATGAGTAGTACTAAAGCAGCCCTTGATTCATAATCTTTGTAAACCTATGAAAATCACATTAGAAGTCTTTCTCAAGTGTTCATATAAGTTTTTCTAAAATCTCATCAGGTAATTTTTAATAACTAAGTAGCAGGAATTTGCTGTCTAAAGCATAACTGGTGGATATTTTTATGACAGGAAAATCTTAGATTTGTGCTTACAACATCTGAATGTGTCAGGGTGATTATTCTTAGACAAATCAGATTAGTCTGACGACACTAAGTCCTCTAAAGCAGAGTGTGAGACTCAGATGAGACTTCAAATTACAGCTTCATTTTGTGTATTGCTTGTGTTCTCATGAGCAATCTGGAGACAGCAGCTCTGCTTGTAATGATAACTGTGTTCAATTTTTAACACCAGAAATATGATACTAAATATCTGTTCTAGATTTAGTAGCTGATTTTTAACAGTAGATAGAACAGTTCAGAAGAATGCAGGAAACTGACTTTTTAAAAATAAATGGCTGCAGATCTCATGGTTCCTTTTATAAAAGTAGCAAGGGTTAGACTTCTTGTAAAATTGAACTGTGGCTTAATAATAGTTTTTGAGCACGTCTCCAGTGGCTGCAGAGTATTTCTCATGGCGTTCCTTAAGCAAGGTATTGGTCAAACAGCACTCACATGACTTGGAGTTGAGCTGCATTTTTGGTAATGTCAGAGGAAATGTTTGAATGGGACCCTTGGGAATGCTGAGAAGAAGCTTTCGTCTTCCTCTCTGCATTCCAGAGAGCAAATGTTTTGCTGCATCTCAGAACCTACTCGTGTGAAATACTGGGCAGTTGAAATTCTTTGCTTATCACACCAGTGCCTCTGTTGGGAGGGAATTTATTTTTTTCCCCAGACCAGTACACATTGTAATTTGGGAATTCTTTTCCTGCTTGGGTATTTGGTGGCCTGACAGACAAAGGATGTGAAGGATGAGGAGTTGCTTCTGGAGAAATGCCTCTTGGTAATATGATTTTACTATGGGTGTTAAGGATTTATTCCTCACTGGGAGAACAGTTAGTCACTGAAATTACACAGGCAAGGGAATGTTCATGGAAAATCCTAGTCTGATTTGAGATTCAGACAGTTACTCTGTGAGGATTTCATTAAAGTCATAGAGCCAGAACACTTAACTTTGTTGTAACTCCCCATCTGTCATAGAAAATTCTAACTGCTTTAATAAAAACACTTCTTTCTCTTCCCTTTTTTTTTTCATTGGGAGGTGGGAGGGATTTACCCTCTTGTTATCTTCATTTCAGTTTTGGAAACCATGGTGGTACGATTTTTCTTCTAAAAACTTCAGAATTTAACACTTTACCTTCATATTAAAGCATGGTTGTTTGCTCTAAGTTTCTGAGAAGCCCCAGACCAATCAAACCTCAGCAAAAATCAGTCCATATTAAAACACTTGCTGGAATTTTACTGATTTAGAATTATGATGTACAAGGTTTAGTTCAGCCTTTTCTTTAGAAAGCTCTTTGTAATGGTCAAAGCTTAGAAATTCAGCTTTTATCTACTACAGCAAATCAATAACTATCTGGTTTTCACCTTTTTTTTTTTTTTTTTTTTTACAATCTTGGCAGACAAATGCAGCAGCAAAGAAAAATAAATTATCCTTTGAACTTTTATTGGGATCTCTTGCTGCCAGTGCTTTTGAAGGTAACATTTCCTGTGTAATGTGAGCAGATGCTCCTAAAGGGCTGACAGGCAGTTCTGAGTATGTCTTGAGCTATCTTGGTTTTCAGGAAGAGCTTAGTTAAAAGGGAAATTTTAACATGCAATCAGCATTAACTATTCTAGATGTGAAAACACAAAAGGTATTAGATTTTTAAATTTTACTAAAGTAGATGTAAATATTTGTATTGACTATTTTTGGATTCTATATTCCCTTGTAGTGCAACTTTTACTATCATCTGAGAATCAGATGGCCTTCTGTGTCTTAATCATCAAAGCCTTAGAAAACAAAGTGGCTGTTGGAAGGTAGCATAGACTAAAAAATATCCTGTTTTGCTCATCTTTGATATAATTGTATGCTTGTTTTGAAGAAACTTTAATGTCTGCTTGAACACAATTCAGTGCTCTTACTGAGATTGCCTAGAAGAGTAAAGTGCAAAATGAAAGGAATTAGGTTAGAATTTTAGTACTCACTTTTGTCTAAATTTATTATTTTAGAGCATTCCTTTCTGAAAGCAACTGATTTAGCCCTCATTTTCACTGCATATGCAAGTATGAAGAAAGGTTATTTAAGGGTTACTCAGTGTAGTGTTCCGAGGGAGCTGAATTGCTGATGGAAAGGCCTCTGTGGATGTAGGTGGGTTTGGATGGGGAATGGATTACTCTGGTACTCACTTCCTTTAGGAACTTAAGAGCCCATGTTCAAAATCCCATGTCAAAATCACACGAGAGAATGGTTAGTTGTATTTTTTTCCTGCTACACATTTGTTGAAATTTATGTGCTTACATTTTACTAAGGGCTATAATGATCCTTAATATGAGGTGGAAGGGTTATCACAGTGAAATTAAACCCCTTGGTTTCTAGTTGTAAAATATGTATAAACTGTAAAAAGCACGGGTCAGCATAAAATAAAATTTTCCGCTAACAGTGTGCTCTGGTTCTCTTTGAGAAAAGACTTAAAAATAGTTCTGGGGAGGGTGGGTGGGTGTGAACTTAGTGCTGTGAAAGGAAAATATTACTTAAGGTAGAAGATACCAGATGTAGTTGGAATACAGTTACAGATGCCAGCTGAAGTCTTGCGGTACCGTGGGTATTTATGTACGAGGGGCTGGTTTATTTCTAAATGCACCGCAGGGAAGGGGTTGTGGATAATGTGAAATTCGCTTATTTCCTTTATTCATGTAAGCGGTGTCCTTGCGGGGTCAGCTCCTCTGCCAGCGCCCGCGTTTTCTCGCAGCTTTCCTGGTTCGGGATGAGCGTTTGTTCCTCGTTTCCCACCTGGGAACGCGGGGAGAAGAGGTCTGGGCTGTGCTGGAGGATTCAAAGCTCTTTAGTGGCGGTGCCCTGCGGGAATTGGGTCAAAGCGAAGGCGGGTGCGGGCGCAGGCAGGAGCGCTGCCGTGTGTCAGGAGAGCGGGGCATCGATGAACCCGTGTCCTTGCGCCCGGGGCTGGCCGTGAGCGCGGCGGTCCCGGCCCCGCTGCTGCCGGCCTGGGCTCGGGGGGACGCCTGGAACAATGGGGTGCCGGAGCCTGCGCTTCCTGCCGGGCCGCGGCAGGAAAAGGCCCCTTTTTCCTCCGCATCCTGCGCTCGCCGCTCCCGGGGAGGCAGCGTTTAATTTCCGGCAGCAGAAGGAAGACGCGGCTGCTCCGCCGCTGCTCCCCCGCGGGCAGGTGCGCTTCGCTGCGGGCCCCACCTGAGCCGCGCTGCCCGAGCCCGAGCCGCGCCTGGGCGCTGCGGGAAGGCTCCTCCTTCCCGGCTCCTTCCCTTCCCTGCTCCTTCCCTTCCCTGCCTCCTTCCCCGGCTCCCGCCGCCCCGGGCGGGGCGGTCCCGGCGGCCGCGGCTGCTCCCGGCGGCGGTGCCGCCCGCCCCTCTCTCGCAGCCGCACGGGCGCTTCCCCCGGAGCCCGGCGGGGCCGGGCCGAGCGCTGCCCCCGGACATGAGGATTGAGGCCGGCGGCGAGCGCCCAACAGGAGGAGCGGCCGGTCCCGTGGGCCGCGGGGCTCCTCGGGGCCGGCGGGGCTGAGACGCGGTGAGAAACGCGGTGAGATGTGCGGGACGATACGCGGTGACATGTGCGGGGCGATACGTGGTGAGATGCGATGCTGTGCCAGGGCGGGGCGGCGGTGCCAGGTCCAGCACGGGCATGACAATCCTGGGTCAGACACCAGGTCCCGGTCTGGGTCCGGTTCTGGTGCCCAGCACGGCCCGGCACAGGATGCCGGGCACCTTCCCGAAGGGACAGCCCCGCAGCCAGCGCTCAGGGGTGCGGAAGGGGCCGCGTGTTCTGGGGACACCGCGGGGTTTGTGATGCTCCCATCATGCTCCAAGGTGTGATCTTGTGAAATACCCCGTCCCCCGGGGAGAGGGACCCGAGTGACCATCAGCACAGTGCTGTGGAAGCTGCTCTCTCTGCCGGGAGCGTGTCCCGAGGAGCAGGACAATGTCCTGAGGAAATCTCCTTTTGCAGCACGTTTATAACTCCCCCCTCCTCCTCCACTCTAGGTTTCTGTACCTGGGAAATCTGAAGTCGTTCCTCTCAAACCAAACAGGTAAAACTACTTGTATCGTAGGAATTTTGCTACAGGCTTCGGTTGAAAGCAAGCATGCAAATTTTAGCAAATTCTAACGCCAAAAAAAAGGTGGAGTTTAGATACAGGCCATACATTTTTTTTCCTCAGGAAGTTTAATGGTTCAAAGCAGGGGTGTTAGATGAGAGGGTTGTATTAGCAGGAAGGTATGCAGTCAGCTTTAGGGTATACAGATGTGTGGGCCTGTGTGTCTATACATGTGTATATATATAAATACACTTCTATTATATATAAAATTATATATAGAATATACTCAGTAGTCAAATTCCTTTAACATAATGTTAAGCACTAAAAACAGGCATCCTGTAACACACTTATCTGTGATCCTCTATTTATGTCTGCCTACTTTTCCCTCAGCTAATGATTAGTTCAAAGTGGAGAATGTATTATTTTCATACTTATTTTAAAAATAAAAATCCTTCTTTTCTCACCCCTCCCCCCCAGTTCTTGTACTTTTTCTCCCTTCTCACTGGATATTACATGCTCTATACTTAGTTTCCACATGGAACTTTCAGGATCCCTTGGCATTTAGCTAAAGTAAACACACCCATTTTAGCTTGACTGGGAGTTTGTAGTGCGTAATAACACTCAGTGACTAATGATTCAAAGATAATCCTGAGGTTGTGCAGTCTGGCCTCTCAGTGAAAGTTTGGTCTTCACATAAAAAAGAAACCACCCCAGAAATGCAAGTGCAAATTCTTTGACTATATGTCTGATTCTGACTGAATTTTGTCTTGTGTGCTTGAAATGCTGCAGATATGTTAATTCCATTTTTTCCCCTATTTTATTTATAAAGTACAGAACTCACAGGTTGCCATGTTTATACTGCTTGTGTTTGGATTGCTACTGCAAGAAATTCTGGCTTATTCCCAAGCTGAAAATCCTGCTGAATTCCCAAACATTCCAAAAGAGCCATTCTACAGCTACAAAGCCATCAACTTGCCAGATGAGCACATCCCCTACTTTCTGCACAATAACCAGCACGTTGCTGACATCTGTAAGCAGGATGCTCTTTGCCCATATAAAGTAAGTTTGCTTTTTTCTGTTTGTTTGTTCAAATGTCCTATCAGGTTGGTTTGTTCTTGGGAGTTGTAGCAGTTGAAGATGGTGATTAATTGGTCTCCTTGCTAATTAGTCATGAAAAAGGTTTGTCTTAGAACATATAAAAGACAAGAGTAATATTGTTGTGCATGTGTGTTCACTTTGGATCCTCTGCTGTGCATGAAGAATCTGGCTGTTGTTTCTCAAACTCTGTTTGAAAACAGACCAAACCAAAAGCCTTTTATGCAAGATTTATGAGCAAGATGCCATTTAAAAGCTAACAACTTGCTTAAGTCATTTCCCATTTTCCTGTTGCAAAACCTGATTCAGTCATTCTGTGTTGCAGAAACACTTGAAGAAATTAAAATCCTGCTGGGGTTATGAGAAATCTTGCAGATCAGAGAACAGGTTCAGTTACCCAGTGTGTGATTATGTTGAAACTGGGTGGTAAGTTTATTTTTAAATGTCTACTGGAGATTATGGTAAAAAAATAGTGTAGTGCTCACTTTGATATAGCTGTGAAGTAAACATTATTGTGATATTTAGAATTTAAAGAGTGATTTTTTTTTTTTGTGGACACCTGTGTATATATATAATGTGTGTATTTATGCATAATGAGCCTTTCAACATGATTTTAAAAAATTAACTTTTTAAGGAAGAAAATAGTGCTAGAAATGCTTCCTGCCAGAATGTTTTCATTATTCTGATTTAGCCTTGAATTCAGATTCCTAAAATAACTCTATTTCCTTTCTTAGCTTTAAAAACAGAGGAAAAAATGTGAAAAAAAAGTCTATCCTTTTAGGGGAGAATAGCTTTAAATTGTCATTGATGTTTTAACTTACATGCAGCTGATAAGTGCTTCCTGTTTTGGCATCTTAAATGCCAGTAAAATAACTGGCTGGTTCTTTTGTTCCACTTTCAGTGGGAAAATGTTATCTGTTGAAGTTATTACTAGAATTGAGCAACAGACCTTGATTTGTTTCCTCTCTCCTTCACACATCAGGGCAAGTGACATCGAGACAGCCCAGCAGATATTCTGGAAACAAGCAGACTTTGGATATGTTCAAGAGAGGCTCAGTGAAGTGAAAACCCATTGCAAGCCTGCAGCAACAGTAGGTATTTCTGATAGATGTGATACTTTGCACTTGTTTTTAAAAATAATTTTTGTTATTGACAGAATTCTACTTGTTCTTAACAGGGGGATTCATCTCTGACCTGTTCCCAGTACCTTCAGCACTGCAGAGCAACAAACTTGTACATTGATTTACGAGCTGTAAAGAGAAACCATGACAGGTCTCTGATTTGCCTGTGTTATAGCAGAAATGGGATGGCAGGGAAAAGGATTTGAGAATTTCTTTAACAAAGTTGGTTTGCTTGTTGCCATGGGTTTTACTGCTTGTTGCTGAAGCCCTGTAAAGGTTTACACCTCTTCATTGCTGGCTGCTGGTGGTGGTGTAAAAACCCAAATTCTCACTTTTATGGAATGATGATGGGTGATTGAAATCCTCCCTGATGGAAGAGAGGAAGACGTTTCTGTGTCTTCAGTCACGTCCTTCCCTGGTCAGAACATGTGCAAAATACAATTGTTTTTGGCTGAGGAACCAAAACCTTTCCTGTGCCTTTATACCAGATCCAGGAGCTGCATTTTTAGATACTGAGTGACTGAGGAGAGATCTGAATCCACATCTTCCACATCCCAAATTAAAAAGCTACCTATTGGAAACTAGATGAAAAAACCATGTGGTGCTGGCATGACCCTCTGCCTTGTCTTTGAAGTCAGTGTCTCGATCTGGTTCATGACTGAGACTGATATTACCCCTCAGAATAGGTTTTGTCATCATCACAGCCTGTCCTGGAAGCTAATTGAGACAGTATTTTTAGCTAGAAACTTGTTTTCAGGAAATTTTTTCTTGCACCTCACTCTTCATATGTCATATAAAATCCTTGAGTAGTGAAGTGGTTGTGAAACCTGAGGTAAATTTAAATTTCCCTTTTTTATTTTAATAAAAAAACCCCAAAACTACAACCAGTCCTGTCATACAGTGATACAACACTGTCATGAAGCAAAATCTAATTAATTTACTCATGTGGGTATGTGTAAATAATTCTTAATAACATTCTGGGTGCATTAGTGCTGCTTTCTGAGATGATGTCTAGACCTTCAAGAACACCACTGTCTTTATTTGGGAATTGTGGAAAATTCTTGATTTACACTGAGGAAAATACTCAGGTTTTAAATATGTATGAAGTGCCCTGCTGAACTGAGACTAAGTAGCACTGGCTTGAGTATGTAATTGAGATTGCAAGGCACTGGTAGCCCTGTTGCACAAAAGCTGATAGACTTTTTCTAATTTGCATTAGATTCAAAGAAGACTTTTTCCAGAAGGGAGAAATTGGCGGTCATTGTACTCTTGACGTTCAAGCATTTTTGGCTGAAGGTCAACGCAAGAGCCCTCTGCAATCTTGGTAAGAATATCTTGGCAAGGCTGCTTCCAAGTTCACTTGCTAATTATTTTTTATTTTTGTCATTGGCATTACCAGCTGTGTGTAGGGGATTTCATACTGAGGAAAGACTTGCTCCTTTTAAGGTCAATTTGAGAGTTCAAATTAGAAACCTCTGATAATTACATCTCTGCAGAAAGTCTGAACCACACTGTGTGGAATTGTGTCCTGCCTCATTTGCGGCAGCAAAAGATGTGAAATCATCTCGCAATCGGAAGTTCTAACCTCCAGGTGTTTTCTGGGCAAGGTGCTGGTGCTGTGCCTAATCTGTGTGTGGAAGGGGTGATGGTTTTGTGGTGAGGTGCCTTGAGGCTGGCCCTTGTGTGTGAGTTCCCAGCGACCTTGGTGAGGATGATCTGGATATGTGCTCACACGGAGTTCCCAGGGAGCCTGTGCTGGGAATGGGAGGTGGGTGAGTCCACAGGCTGAGTAAGAAGTGCAGAGCATCACAGTTTGCATGTTAGCACTTCAAAGCTGCCTTGCCAGTTAGCTGATGAAGGAACTGGAGCCATTAAGGTCCATGTAATAATTTATTCTTATGCTTTGCTTATATTTTCTTTTTCTTCCTCCATTTTTCATTGATGTTTAAGTCAGGAGCTGCTGCAGAGGAGGAAGACTTTTCTCCTCTACCTGCTGTTGTCATCACAAGTGTTCATCCTTGTTTAGATGCAGGAACAATAAATACTGCCTCTACATTCATTATTCCAACCAAAGCACGGAAATCTCCCTTAAGTGTCTTTGGCAAGGCAGATCAAGTTGGGTGGAGCCACAGATGCAGGCTCTGAGGCTTTGTTACATCCCTGCTGCCTTGATTTGGAGATCAAAGGTGCTGTTCACTCCTGAGATCAAAGGCAGTGTTTAACCTCTAGAAGCCTTGAAGAACCTTCCATTATCATTTCAAATCATTTTAATTGTCAGACTCTATCAGTTTTCAGCAGTCCTGTTAACTGAAATGGACTGGAAGGACAGTTACTAAACCTGAGCCATACGAAGTACATTTGTTTAAATGTGTTGATGTCAAAGCATATTCTGTGTGATTGAATCTTTCTAGGTTTGCAGAACTCCAGACATTCACTGCATTAGACTTCAGGCCTCTAGAAGATGGGAAGTGTGACATTGTTATTGAAAAGCCAACGTACTTCATGAAATTAGATGCAGGTAATTGGTATCTTGAGTTTTTTGGGAGTTTTTTGGGGTTGGTTTTTTTTTTTTTTTTTTTTGGACTGCAGCAAAAAATGCTCATATTCAACTTGCCCATCTACATTAGGCCTTTGTGACAGTTCACTGGTAATATGAAAAATGGTGTGTTTGTTAGTTCCTTTTTAGTTCCTCTTTTTGGTGTAGTTCCACTGATGAACTTAGAAACTGAAATTTGAAAATCTTAAAATTTCCCACAGATGATTTAGAAAAAAAAAAATTAGAACAATTTCCTGTTGTTTGTCCTGCACAGTTGTTCTCTGGACTGTGATTTGGCAGTGTTTGACTTTGTGCCAAAGGCTGTCCTGGCTGTGTTTCTGCATGGCAGGTTCCATACCATCAAACACAAAGTGTGGGTGTCTGTCCTGAGTGCTCAGCAGCAGGACCGTGTGCATTGCATGACAGGGAAGAGAAGTGGAGCTCCAAGAGGGGCAGCACCCAGGCACCTTCAGGAATGTTTTTTGAGCCTCACCAGCCTTTTTGTTGGTGCAGCACAGTTTGCAGCCCGGTGTTGAGGAGGAGGACAAACCAAGCAGCTGCAGTGGGGTGAGCTGTGTTTGGGCTGGGTGCTCGTGTGCTGGGTTCTGTCCCTGTCACACACAGCAGCTCTGACCCCAGCTCCTCCTCTTCCCCTGCCTGACATTTTAAGCCAAGTTGTTGCAGGGAACTGGACTGTGTTACCTCCTTTGTGCTCCCTCCTTTGTTCCATGGGAGATTTTTTGTGTGCCAGGAATGAACGAGAGAGAAGATCTGAGGAATGATTTGGGCTTTGGCTTGTGTGGAAGTACAAGTTCTGTCTTGAGCTTCCCTCAGCCCCACTAAAGCAGAGCCCAGACCTGTGCTGAAGGCCAGTTTTCATGTTTCCTTATGTCTGAATGGGCTCTGTTAAAGCAGGAGATGCTTTTATATCCTTCAAAAACCAGCTGCAGACTGTAAAGACAAAGAGCACATGAAGCTCATCTTTCTTTTGGCCGCTCTTCTAACTCGTTTGTACTTTTTAAAAACACATGGTACCTCAGATTTCCTTCCTTGATTCCTTCGTTTAGAGGTTCCTTTTTTTCGGGTGTATTAGGAGGATTCAAGGAGTCAGAAGCAAGGGAAGCTAATATAAAATGCAGGATGCTAATCAGAAAAAATGCATAAACCAAAAAAAGTGGAGCAAGTAATGCAGTGTTTTTCTAACAATTATTTCTTTTCCAGGTGTTAATATGTACCATCACTTCTGTGATTTTGTCAATCTTTACATTACCCAGCATATCAATAATTCCTTCAGCACTGATGTCAACATTGTCATGTGGGACACTGTAAGTCTGCTGTGCTTTTAGCATATTTGTGATGGGTTGTATTTCTCCTTTTTAGAGGCTCTGAAGGTTTTAGTAGCCATTCCTTAGCTCTCTCATGGGCATAGCCATGTAGAACTGATAAATTTCTGGATCCTTTTAATACAGGAGCATGAGTAATAGTTAGAGAACAGATTTTCTATGATAAACCATGTGCTGTTGGAACGCTCCACTTTACTAGTACATAGTTATACCTTTTTTTGATGTGACCTCAAAAATAACCTGCTCAGTATTTCTAATCTGTAGCATTTGAAGCTTTAATTGGTTTTTCTAGGCTTTTTTCTCTTGGAATATTGAAGTAGATTAGCTCAACTGTTTCTTCTATATTTAAAAAGAAATGTGGTCTTGCAAATCAGTAATGTGCAGCCTGCAGTAAAGAAAACAGCTAAATTAAATCCTTATATATATTAAAACAGAGTTTAATATTTAATTCCTTTAAGTAGCCTTCTTGCAGTTACTTCCCTCAATCACCTCTCACATTCCCACGATGACATAAAACAAGTTTTTAAGTGGAGCTGTTTCTTCTGTACTGCTGGGTTGAAACCATGAATGTGTTTGAGTAATATTAGTTTTATTGGACAGTGTTTAAGTTGTGTAGGAGGGTATTAAACTAAATAAAAAACAACTGGGCAATTTGTAATATGCCAGATAACATGCATAATCTGGTCCAGAAATAACAGTTCTTGAATATGACACTGTCCCACACCTCTTTTTGTGATCATGAAGTGCTGAGTTTTCTCTCTGAGCCTTTAGTGCTAGGACAGCTGAACTTCAATAGAGAATGGCAAATATTCCCTGCTTGCTGTTTAATGAAAAACCTGTTTGGCTAGAAGAAACTCTTTTTTCTAACTATTGTATTTTAAAGCTAAAATCAGTGCCATCTGTCAGATAAGTGATCTCTCAAGGTGTTGCACAGGGACCTGTTAATCCAGCTCTGGTGGCTTTCTGGAAAGATCAGGTGTTAGACAGCATTGTAAATTACTTTGAAAAGCAACTCTTTGTCTTATGTTGCAGAATCAAATAACTCTTTCAAATGTGCCATTCAAAATTATGCCACACTGTTTTCATTTTAAGTGAGCATTACCTGCTCAGGCAGCTGCAGTTCATTGCTGTGTAAAACCAGGTGATGGCACCAGTCAACTGCTGATAAACTGTCTGTGCTCATCAAAAGGTAGACTTGAGCTTATTATTAATTCTCTTTTTTTTTCCCTTGATGTAATTAGATTTGGCCATACTTCCTAGCTACTGTTCTTATTAAAGAGTAATGCCCTTAGATGTAGGTTAAACAAAGCAGAAAATGAGTAGGAATTCCACTGGGTGTTGGTGTGCAGGGAAGAAATGTTTATAAAGCACTTTTAAGGAGACCAGAGAGGGTTAGAAAGTGGTGCTTTCATCAGTTCTCCACTCCTAATCTGGGAGAGCAGTTCTTGTAATACATGGCCAGAAGGGAGTCTGGAATGTAAAATTCATTAAAACCTAATGGCAGAGCAAGAGGAAGGCCTCTTGAACCGAAGGAAATCTGGTGCCCTTTAGATTCTTTTACCTTTCACCAGATTTCTGTTCTCTCCTGCTATCATTTGCAGTCCTATTTTCAAATTTCCTATTTAATATGTTCCCACACAACTTCCCAAGCAGCCTGAGCCAGCCCCAGAGTTGAAAGGAAGCTTTAGTGAGAATCTGTACCAGGCTACTGAGGGCACATTTAATTGCATTCAAAGAGCAAGAGGTGGTGACTCAGCCCTGGGATGTGTAGGAAAGGTGACAGATTGAAGGCAGGAGCCCCTGCTGCTGGGAGTAGATGGCTCTTTAAAAGTTCCCCACAGAACTTTTAAAGGGGAAAGTTTTTTACTGCTCTCTATAGAAACTTCTCAGCTGTTTCTTCCATCAAATCAGATCATTGCCTTCAATTTGTGATACATGTACCATATGCAAGTGGCAATCCCAAAACAGGCAAATGCAAAACAGGCTTGTTGTGACTTTTTACCTCAAACTTCAGTGCTGCACTACAAAACCAGGTGGTTTTGTGTTTTTTAATCTCAGATGTTGAGGTTTAGACCTTCTACCATCCCTGTGTTTGTGTTACTTCAAATTTAACTTGTGTTCTGTTGATTCTGGGAAAAGTAATAAGTAATTCTCACTCCTAACTCAGAAATTATAATTTGCTATTGAAGAAATTGTCTAGTTGGCTAATTTATAGAAGTTTTTATTAAAAATTAACTACCTGAGAGGTAATTTGAGTTACCTGCCAGTGCAAACACTGAGTTTGGTGCTGTGTAATGTCTTTTCTGTGCTAGGCTGCCTTGGGCCCTGTGTTGGTGTTGCAAATATTAACTGTATTAAAACTCATATGTACAGAACCTGTAAATCATGAAGAGAGTTTCTAATATGCATTTATGTAATTGTTGTACCCTTATTTTTTTTGCTTTCCTCCTAGAGCTCATATGGCTACGGTGACCTGTTCAGTGAGACATGGAAGGCATTTACTGACTATGAAATAATTCACCTGAAAACCTTTGACTCTAAAAGGGTATGGAATTCTATATTTTGTTTTAATTCATGGTCACTAGGAAGCAAATGTGACAACTTCTCAAGCTGCTTGGGGTTATGGGTTCTAGAGGAAAGCATTAATACTTTCCATGCATGTTTAATTTGTGTAGTATGAGTGTTCTACTTCAGAGCTGTAACAAGAAACAAGAGCTGTAACCTGATTCTGTGGTGTGTCTATCCTGTATATGGATGGACCTAACTTTTGTGTCCTTTTGAAGTGGTATTTCTGAAAAGGTTTTGCTTCTGCAGGACTCCTGACTGAAGTTAAGGGTTATCAAATAGTCTTTCTAAAGTCTTCTAATTCCTTCTGAGGTGGTTTTTTTTTTCCCTGTAACTGTTGGCATTCCTGCTCGTTATCATTAAAAAAATTACACCAAAAAATGCATCCATTCATTCAGAGCTCATTTTAGCCTCTTCAATCTAGTAGTAAACTGATTAACTGGTTTACTTCTCTTTAGTCCATGATTGTTCTGTTTTGGGGTGTTTTCATCACCTCTTCCCACACTTGCACGTCCCAAGTGAGAGCTCTTTCGGGATCTTTGTTCTGCTCATTTGCACAGCGAGGCAGGCAGGCTGTCCTTGGCAGGAGCAGGAATTGCTGGCTCGTTAGGAGCAGGGCTGGCAGGGAATGGGCCGGGGGTGGGCTGTAACTCCTTGTGATCCCCTTGCCAGGTGTGCTTTAAAGAAGCCGTGTTCTCTTTGCTGCCTCGGATGCGATATGGATTGTTCTATAACACACCCCTGGTGAGTCCCTTTGTCCATCCATTCTCGCTAGGAGGGTGTGGCAGGGTGGAATCTGAGCTGGGGAACCCCTCCAATATCATGAAATACACTGCAGCGAAGGTGCCAACTTCTAATGGAATCATCTTCCCTAAAGATTGGGATTTTAAAATTATTCCAGCTGGTTGTGTGCAGTCTCCTATGTCACAGCTCAGGAGGTGCAAATTATTCCTCTTTAGTGGGTGGGTACTGTGAAGTAACTGGTGTTTTTGCAGAGCACAAGAGCTTGAACACAGTCAGACTTCCCCGAGGGTATTAGCTCACACACTCAGGCTCTAGCAGTAGAGTTGTATTTCTTTCTAAATGAAAGTGCCACTTGTGTTTCAGTGAATAGCACAGTGCATGATACTGGGCTTTTGTTCCACAAGAATGGTAAAAACCTCATCACAAAACTCAGTTTTCTGAGCAAAATAACTCTGTATATTAACAACTGCTTTTTAAATTTCAGATCTCTGGCTGTCACGGTACGGGGCTGTTCCGAGCCTTTTCTCAGCATGTGCTACACAGATTAAATATTACCCAGGAAGGACCCAAGGTGTGAAAACTGCATAATACAACTGTGATATGGAGCTGGTGGTTCTTGCCAGAGAATAGCAGTAGCAAACAGAACCCAGTGTGGAATGAGGGTGTATCTGTGTACTTTGTCTTTTCCTGTGATGTTTAGGGTTTAGGTTTGCCCCGTAAAGGCCTTCAGAGAACATTTGTGCATTTTTGTGGAAGTTGCCCTTATGTCTTATTTCTGTAGGACAGATTTTAGAGCATTCTCCTTCCCGCCTTAGGGTCTCTTCCCTGTATCCATTCTCTGTGCTTTTATGTCCTTCCCAGTTAAGTCAGACACGTGTTCCATGGAACAGCAGTGGGGATCCCACAAAGCAGAGCAGAGCTTGCCCTTTATCAATCCCCTTGGATGCTGCTGAGCTCGGATCAGAGCTGCAAGCAGTGGAATCTGGTCCCTCCATGCCTGCCCAGCACCATCTGTCTGGTCTGGCCTTCTCTGTTGCTCACACTGATGATTTTTGCACGTTGCCTTGGTGGCCAGGCCAGTTCTGGGCCAGTTGAGGTTGAAGTGTCTGCTGGAGAGTAGCCCACATATTATTGCTGAGGAGCACATTCAGAGCTCTGCACAGGCATTTAGTTATGCTTCTCCTGCTGACACTAATGGGAGCCATGCAGTTAAATCTCTTTATTTCACTTGGAACGCTCACCCCTGTGAGTCCAATTAATTAAAAGAGGTAAAAGAGGAACTGTTATAGAAGTAAAACATTTTTTTTTTCCCAAGGAACTTGTGCACAAGCCATCCAGAAAGCTCCTTTTCTGCTTTCAAAAACTGCCATATAATGTGTAATACAAAGGCTCTTTTGTACTGAATGATATAAATCTTTCAGAAAATATTTAGTTCTTGGTTAATAATCACTTTCACAAAGTTTTTGGTGCTTTGAATCTGTCAGAAAATACGATGTGAATTTTAAGGTGGTTACATCATCTATTTATTACTTGTGGAAGGAATATTTAATTACTCAAATAATTGCCAGAAGTAAATACTGAGGAGTTTGGGATTGTTTTTTTGTGAGGGCTGCCTCTCAGCTAACACAGTGCTGCTTCTTTCTTTTTAGGATGGGAAAATTCGAGTCACCATCCTCGCACGCAGCACAGATTACCGGAAAATATTAAACCAGAATGAGGTGTGGTCCATTTTATCTTTAAAAAAGATTTATTAGAAGTTCAATTTTTCTTATTGGATTGATTTTTTTTTTCCAGGTACAGCCAAGACATCTATTTTCTGGCAAATCTCAGACAAATATGTCCAGTGTTTATATTAATTTGTTCTAAAATGTCTTCTAGGCAGTCTCCATCTCTATACCCCAGACACTGAACCTTGCTGCCCTTTCTAAATATCCAGTGGAAGACTGCAAATGTAATACTAAAAGTATTTCCTCTGAGCAAACAGACACTGCAGATCTTCTGATAAAATTAAATTATTTCACTTTCAGATTATTCCTTTTATTTATAGCATCTCCAGTGTCTAACAAAACCCTTTGTAATGCCTGCAGATTGGAATGCACAAGCCCTCGTATCAGTTTGTGCACTCAGAACATAATTAATTTTCATATTTATTTATGTTTTTGAATCATGCAACTTCGTGGACTTGTGTAAAAGCTTCTTTCATGGTAAAATGATAATATTCAATGTTTTCATACCTGGTTTCATTCTCTGTGCTTAGTGCCTGACAAAAATGAATTGGGATTATAATCCCCACTTTATGTAGGGAGAACCTGAGGCTGATGTGATGCAGTAGCTCAGTGGCAGAGCAGACAGAGCAAAGGATTTGTGCTTTATCTGCTGGGCTGTCCTCAGCTGATGCCTCCACTGCTGCAGGTAGTTTGTGTCCTGGTACCATGGCAAAGAGAGAAGTTGGTTTTATCTTTACCAGGCAAGGGAGTAATTAACTGAAGGAAGACACCAAATCCTTGTCTTTTTATTCTTCTCCCCAGCTTGTGAATGCTTTGAAAACAGTGTCAACGCTGGAGGTCAAAGTGGTGGACTACAAGTACAAGTGAGTTGTTGGAGGAAACTGCTGTGAGCTCGTGCTGCCTGTGGCTGCTGACAGCTCTGTCTGTCCCCTGGTCTAACCTGGGCAAAATCCAAGCATTGGGAAGGAAAAGTGTTGGGTGAGGTAGTTGAGCACACCCATTCCACAATGCAGTAGCTAGGGTTAGCAGGCTCAGGTTAAAGCTACTGTACAATGAACAAGGTTTGAAATCCCTTTTGCTCCCTCTCCCAGAGCCAGCTGTGTTCCCATCACCTTTTTGCAGGTTTCTCTGCAATAGCTGTGTTAACAGGGATTTCCCTGGTATGATGCCAGTGTCTTATTTTATGAGCCTTAGTTTAGTAATCAGTAATAACTCTGATTATTTGCTGCTCTCGTGACCCCTGAAAACACCACTTGAGGCCAGTTTGTGGTGCCAGGTGTTTGTTGTGCCAGGAAGAAATGGATTGAAGGAAAAGTTCCCAAAGCGTGCCTGTCCCAAATGGCAGCAGCTCCACCTGGAGCTGTCATGAATCATGCAGGAAGAGTGAGAAACTGAAGCAGCACTGAGACATCCGTGGTCTGACCAAACACAGACAGTGGGAGGAAGTTTGTGTGTTTTACATTACACTGAATGCTCTTCAGAAACAGTAGGTTTTTAGGTTTTTATTTGGGGTATTTTGTTCTTAGTTTTTGGGTTTTTTTTAAGATGATGCATTTTTTAAAAGGCAAGTAAAAAGAAAAACCCTTAAACTTACAAAAACTTTAAGTTGGCAAAAATATTTTTGAAACAAATTCTTGTGAAGTTTTGAAACCTGCCTGCATTTCTTTCACTTCCATGCTGAGTTACCACTGGCTGCAGCATTTGTGATTCCTAGTATTGTTCCTTGAATGATCACTTCTCTCTTTCAGTATTCCCTTAAGCCAATTTTGTGCTTTCTCTATGTTCTGCTGGGCTGGGTAGACCTTCCACATCATCACCACTTTTCTTGTGTTGTCTGCAGGGAACTTGAATTTTCGGAGCAATTGAGAATTACCCACAACTCTGATATATTCATTGGGATACATGGAGCTGGACTGACCCACCTGCTCTTTCTGCCAGACTGGGCTGTTGTGTTTGAGCTGTAAGTGTGTCTGTCTCTCCTTCCCCCTCTGTTTGTTGCTGTGTGTTAATGAAGCCTCTCCCTTCCTGGTATTTGACCATGAATGTTTGTCTTGCAGCTTTGTTTAGACTTCATAGTTGGCAGCCTCTTCTCCTGGGGATCAAAACAGAGAAAGCTTTCATTATAAAATACAGTGTAATTATATCATACAGGCTAAGCCTGTGATTTCTTAATCTTCCATGGTATAAATATAATGGGAAAATGGCAAACCATGAGAAAACCTCAATGCTTGGGTTCTGCCTGGTGAGTCTGAGATCCAATGATGTTTTAGTGATCCAGGTGAATTGATCAGGTGCATGTCCAGGGCTATTATTGATATTCATTGATTGTGTGCTAGCAGCCCCCTGGAGGTTTTTCTGTCCTCCTTGCTCTGCTCAGGACATGAGCACCAGCTTGCTGGCCAAGGTCAGTCCTGTGTTGTTGTGTGTTGCCTAAATTTCTCCTGTAGCTTCCTTTTAAACTTATTTTCTCACAAAGTAGGGATGCAGACACTCCAACCCACAGAACAAAGCAGAAATCCAGAATGCTTGTTAGAAGAGCTCTGAATTCCCCATCCTGGGAAATTCCGCCGTGGGAAGGCTGCAGAACTGGTGTTTTGCAGCGTGGTCTTGGCTCAAGAATGTTTTGTCCAGTCTCCAAATAAGTTCAGAAACTCAGGGGTTTTTTTTCACATGTCCAAGAGCTGCTGCAGCTGGACAGGGACATGTCTGATGTGCAGATGTGCCTCAAACTGCCTCCAAGGCCACATCTTGAGAGCAGAAGGCAGCCCTTGCTCTTGTTTCAGTGGAGCAGAATTTGCCCGTGGTTTTGGTGCCTTAGAACTGGACAACAAACATTTCAATTTTTTGGTAACTTCAGCATAATCTCTGTAGGTAAATATGTTTTTTCTGCCTGTCCCTAGATACAATTGTGAAGATGAACGTTGTTACCTGGATTTGGCAAGGCTGAGAGGCATTCATTACATCACTTGGAGGAAAAGGAATAAAGTATTCCCTCAAGATCAGGTAATGATGGCCACTCTGGCAGGCTGGGGTGCTGTAACTGAAGGACTTCACAGTTATCCTGTTTTACCTACCTATGTTCTGGTATTTGAAAGATGATATTAATTCTTTAGGCCAAATTAACTTCCCTGTTAAGATTAAGAAATCATTTGATATTAATGGCTGAGGGAAGAAGAGCAATGAAGTTAATTGGCCATGAACCATTCATAGCATGGCTGTTATGCAGTTCCTTTGCTGATTCTTTTGCCTCAGAGCAGATCAGTGGATCAGAAATAATAAATTAAAATGGCAGATCCTCAATTTTTCTTGCTTTTTTGAATGGAAGATGTATTGATCTTTTTTTTTTTCATGTCTGAAAATCCTTATCTTGTTTTTCTAGGGACACCACCCAACACTGGGAGAACATCCAAAATTTACAAACTACTCCTTTGATGTGGAAGAATTTATGTATTTGGTGCTTCTGGCTGCAAATCATGTTTCACAGCATTCGAAGTGGCCATTTAGGGTAAAACATGATGAATTCTAATTTAGACTTCTGACTGAAATACTGTTTTTAATTAGTCACAAAATGGCCTGGGTTGGAGGGGATTTTAAAGACCATCTCATTTCACCCCTGCCATGGCAGGGACACTTTCCACTATCCCAGGGTGCTCCAAGCCCCAGTGTCCAACCTGGCCTTGGGCACTTCCAGGGATCCAGGGGCAGCCACAGCTTCTCTGGGCACCTGTGCCAGGGCCTGCCCACCCTCACAGCAAAGAATTTATCCCTTGTATCCAATCTAAACCCACTCCTTGTCAGGTTGAAGCCATTCCCCCTTGTCCTGTCACTACATGCCCATAAAAAAAATAAATTTCCACCAATGAGGGAAATAACCCATTGTTAATTTGTCAGACCACTTCTTAGCACCATACCTTGTCTTTATAATTCCTTTCTAATCTGGGAGGTTTTGATATGTAGAAACTATTTTTTCATACTATTTCTGGTTTTTTGCACTGTATTTCTACATTCCAGATTCTGAAATACTCTTTATACAAAGATATGTCCACCCATTTCATGTAAGGTTTTCTGGGGTAGATCCAGGGTCAACAGACACTGCAAGCTTCTACTTTAAATTTAGAAACATTTTCACATTAGAGAGCACAGTCTTATGATTTTGCATTTAAATATAAACTTTGGCTCTTGTCCCTGTAGTTATAAATGCTCCAATACAAGAGGTCTGCACAATAGGTTCAGTCAGTTTTCTGTCTCAGAGAAGGTAAATCTTTTCCTAAGTGAGTACTTCAAATTTCAGGTAATCTGGGCATTTCCTACTTTTTCACAAAAACGAGCACTCTGCATTGGAAAACTTGTGCAAATTGGAATAAAACTTGACTTTTTGAGGATTCTAAAGGGAATGGCCTTCTAGTTTTTTTAAGGACAAATGATAAAATGTGTAGAATGTCTTTCAGCTGCAGCTGAAAGGAAAGGAATGATGAGGAACCTTATTCTTGGAGTCACTAAAAGCCTAATTTTTAATATTCTTGTTTCCTCAAAGTGTTGAAGAGTTAATCCAGAAATTTTTTTTAATGAGATCTTTCCAAAGCCAGTAGCACATTTCACTGCTTTCAGTGAAAGGAATATTAAACCAAAGCCGAGTTCTTTTTGAAATTCCCCCTGGAACTGAGATATTCTAGTGGGGAAAATAAAGGTAGTAGTTCTTTTGTCTTAAGTGGGGCCAGCAGGATGTGTAGAAGAATCACATTCAGTGAGATAAAACCCTAGATTTCCATGTTAAATTATGGATTTTTGGGGAATGTGTCCCCATGCTGGGCTTGCAGTTCAGCCGTGCAGTCCCAGTGGCTCGGGGCAGGCACACATTTGTATAGAAAAGCAGGAGAGTTCTGGTAAATACAAACATTTCACTGCTCTAATTGTAGATGGTATTGACTTCCCTTCCCCAGCAATTTCACAGAGTGTGGGTGCATTTACAGACCTGTCTGTACTGGTAGGGATGAGTTACTGTAAGCACAATTTTCATATAGATCTCTCATGACCTTAATCAGTGCACAGGAAAAGCTGGGTAGAGCTGAGACCTTCATATATTTTGTGTATGTGGTGCAATTCTTCCTGGAGAGTGTTGTTTTACTGAGGGAGAAAACTGTTTCACTTTAAAGGACCATAGAAGCAAAATTGCACTTCTTTATATGAGGGGGGGAAAAAAACCCTTGAGCAATACCATTTCCTGTATTTGTATGTGTCTGTTGGGGTTTTTACCTTGTGGGTTTTTTAAAGTAAAAAAATGTGTAAAACTTAAGCCAGTAAAATGTCTGTGTTTGAATGAAACCAAGTCAAAGGAAAGAAGACGTTTAATTATGAACTGTGCACATATTGTTTTTTTAATAAAAAGCTTTTTAATTAAAAAAAAAAGTGTAAAATTTTTTTATAGTTTGCTAGGTGTTAGAGGCAAATGTTTTAAATATTATTAATTGCTTGGAGTCCCATGTCTCTGCTTTCTCCTGCCGTGACAGGCTGATGTTCTGAGGTCCAAAGTGATATTCAGGTCTGTTTACTTTAGAGTCATTCAGAGGTGATGCTGCCATCCTGCACTACTGGCTTTAGTGCTGGGCATTTGAAGATTGGTTTGTGAAAATCTCTGTATATATTTAACTTCCTGTGGTGCAGGTGATGCTGCTGGAGGCAGTGAGTGAGTGCTTGATTCTGCACAGGAGCAGCTAATGAGGAGCTGCACTTTCAAGTGATCACTAAAACAAATGGTTGAGCATATGTGTGCAGGAGAGGCTGCAGGGACTTAATCCAAGGGCAAAATATCCTGCCAATATTCACCAGTTTCAGCAAATTTGAGTGCAGTGTCAACAGTTGATGGCCAACATGTTATTCAGCCTTTATGGCTTAATATTGCTAGGATGAAAAGATGGTTTGTGTTGATTAACTTTACAAATAGTGCAAGATTTTCTTGGCAGCAGAAGGAGGTTTGGTTGGATTTTTGGGTTTTGCCAATAAATCCTGAAGGAGTTTGGTCGACAGCAGATGTCTGGATTGTGACTTGAAGAGCATCTGGACCATCTTGGATCTGTCTGGAAGTTGGAATTTGAGGGAATCCATGAGACTTCTGGGCCACTTGACCTTAAGGCAGGATATAGCTCTGGGTTAAGTTTTCCTAACAGACCATGGGAATCTTCTTCCTTGCTACTTCTGATTTTTTAAATATTTTTTTGTTGTTGTTGGGTTTTTTTTTGTTTTTTTGGTTTTTTTTGTTTTTTGGTCTCTCCAGTTTACCCCAGTTTAGAGTCTAAGAGGCACCTTGGCATCAGTGTGATGAATTTTTGGGGCTTTGTATAATGTTGCAAGTCCTGAATGCTTTTGGGATTACCTTTGTTTCCTGTACAATGTAAACCAAGAGCTGGATTTGGAATAAAAAATAATTTATGGATGCGTGCGGTTTCTTTCCTTTTTACTTCAAGATGTAATTTCAGTTTATTTCTTTGGGAAGTTCTGTGGAAGTTGGGTAAGTATGAGCAATGGTTTGCAATGAGGAGGTGGCAAATCGACATTATTAATGTTAAGAGTCTGATTATAAATATTAAGGCAATACATTTCTAAAAACCATTAAGTAATAATGGAATTGTTTAATTTTTGCTGTTAATCTTGACAGTACCATTAATGAGATAACTCAGAGTTTAGAATATCTCTTGATCCTGAAGTTTTTTTAAGGAGAAAACCTGAAGAAAACCTCTTTGACAGCTTTTTATGTGCTCAATGTTTGATTTCCACACTGAATAATTGTTTCAATTTGCAGTGTTTGCCTTAAGTTGAGCTCTTACTTCCACTCCTCTGAACACACATTTCTCATGGATTGGGCTTTTTGCCTGAAATAAATGAAGTGCTATTGAATCCCCTCTGGCTCTGGCCCTGAAATGGCCACAGAAGGTTGGGTTTTGTTGTTCATCCATGAACTCTCCTCATTCTTACATTTCAGGTCCTCACCTCAGGCCTGAGTGTGAGGCTGCTACTTAGGATTTTAGCTTTTATATTTTTCAAATCCTGTGCTGGTTTAGGTTTTAATTCTAAACTCCATATATAGTGTTAATTAACTGTCTTCACATTTTGGTCAGACAAAGCAATCACTCTAAGCCTGGAACTAAAGGACACCCTTGAGTTGGAATTTTTTTAGGTTAGAAAAGCCTCAGGCTCCAAAAAGCATAAACAAAACTGAATTGGGGAGGAGTAAATTGGGAGTAAATTACTTTATTACCCGAAGCTGTAATTGGAGGATTAACCCCTGATATGTAAATGGACCAAACTTATAATTGTTTGAAAAACTCGTGACCATTGCCCATCCTGAGTGTAGCCTTGGAGGCTTTGGCCTGCCCGAGGTGTATCTATTGAAGGTCTTTAGTAAATAACTGCTCTTATTCTCTTAGTTCTGCCCAGCCTCTGTTCTAGGCAGCCACTCCAAGCCCTGCTCAGAATGGGAACCCTCCCGGGTCAGTGCCAAGGCTCAGCTCAGCCCAAAACCCAAATCCTGCAGTCTGAACTGTGCCAACAGTGCAGCTGAAAACAGAATTTTGTGTTCGGGGGAAGAGAGAGATGCACACAGGGAACGAGAAAGGTGAGGAGGGAGGAACAAGTGTAAGGTTCCAGATGGGTAAAACAGACAGAGAGTCATTCTGAAGCGTGGAGCTCAGGAGACCTCTGGGAATGTGGTTATAAATCAAGAGAAATGTGTGGAAACCTTGTTGGGACTGAGCCAAAAATGAAGGGAGTGAAAATACTCATGTCACAAACTACAGGGAGGTACAGGAGGGGGAAAGGAAAGGTCCTGAATTCCCTGGAGTCTGAGGCAGGAGAGTGGAGCAGCATCCCTGACCGGGGGGGCTGTGGGGAGAAGGGACAGGGCTGAAAAACTGGGTGGTGACCTGGGAATTGTGCTGGGGAGATGAGGGAAAGGGCAGGGGAGGATGAAAGAGGTGTTGCCACGGTGGGGTAGAGCTGACAGCACATTCTTAGATGTTATTTTTTACTGGCTGCTGTCGTCTCTTGGAACACCGAAATATTTCTATAATATATCAATATAATACAAAAATAACCTTTGTATATAAATATAATAGTATAAATTATATAAAAAAATATATAATATAATATTAAGTATTTGTTGTTACCATTATCTTTTAGCTAGGGGAATAAAACTCGAATAATAAACTATCTGTTAATTTTCTTTATGTTTTCTTGACTTCCCTTCCCTTTCCAATCATTCCATGGCAAATCAAAAAGGAGAAGTAGGAAAAAAAAGGTAAATTGCACTATTACTGAGAATGAATTTGTTTTGAATATGTATAACTTCTACAGTGACATTGTTCTTTTTTTTTTTTTTTTTTTAAATCAGACCTTCTTTTGGCCTTTAGAAAAGTATTTATTAATGTAGTACACAAAGGGCATAAAGCTTTTGAGTAGTGGGTGAGAAATCAATTGTCTGGAGCTCAGCTCCCCCATCACCTGGGAACAAAAGAGTGTCAGGAATGTTAATTTTGGTTGCCAGGTGTTTGAGGGTTGGGCTTGTTGAAAACTGAACAAAAGATGACGTTCAACCAGGATTTTAAAGGAGAAAGTTGAGAATGCGTCAGTTATTTTCTAGATCGAGCTGATAATAAAGTCACCGTCGAATATAAATACTCAGTAAAGAAAACAAACAGGAAATTTTACCAAATCAGTCATCACTGATAACTGGTGAATTATGGAGAAATACTGATGATGATGAATTATGTTGAATTCTGTTGAATTATGATGAATTAGTAGAGAAAAGGAGGCTCAGGGGGCCCTTCTGGCTCTGCACAATTCCATGACAGGAGGGGACAGCCGGGGTGGGTCAGGCTCAGCTCCCAGGGAACAGGGACAGGACAAGAGGGAACAGCTTTCAGTTGTGCCAGCGGAGGATTAGAATGGATAGCAGGGAAAATGTTTTAGCCAAAAGGGTTGTCAGATGTTGGCAGGGGCTGTGCTGGGGATGTTTAACAGAGCCGGGGATGTGGCACCTGGGGACATGGTGGGGACAAGGTTTGGTTGTGGCCTCGGCAGTGCTGGGGTAAAGGCCGGACTCGATGGAAAAGCTCTTTTCTAATTTACAGGCTGATCATCCCCATTTCAGAACCTGAAATGTGCTGTCTCTGCCGACACCTCCCTGGCAGTGCTGGGGCTGGTTTTCAGGGTCTCGGTGCTTTCAGAAGGTCATTCAGGTAGGCATTCATGTTTTCAGAATTTCAGAAGGTCACAGGCTCCTGCTGGCAGGGGACAGCCTTAGCTCGGGGGTGTCTGCGGGCTGGAAATGCCCCTAGCCCACCCCACCTATTGCAGCAGAGTGCAGTAGGTGTCACTAGAGCCCTTCCCAACGCTCCGAGGGAATCATTCCAAATGCAGAATCTGCTCACTGCAACTGCTCCTGCAGTCATAGTGTTGTTTTTCCTCCTTCCTGTTTGTAGGAGCAAAAAATTAATCCATGGAGATTTTAGCTTTTAGCCTAGGATGATTCAGATGCTATAATATTAATATACTTGTCTTCAGTTTTTCTTTAAGCAACTTAGCTGGTGTTGGAAAATAATTTTCAGTTAATCTTTCGTAACAAAATCCTGCTTCGTGTTGTGTTCTAAAACCACTTTGCCAGACTTTTACCTTTTAGTAGTTAATGCAATTCCTATTTTGCTCCAAAGTCTTGATTTTTCACTTCTGCAGCACATCACCCAGCCATGCAATATATCCTGCACTTTCCACTCCCTAATCACTTCTCCAGTGCAGTTCACTAGGAAGGGTGGTTGTGTGCACACCATGGAAATATGGACACTGACACTTGAAAAATAGTAAGAAAATATTGAAAAATGATGGAGTTGTTATTCTGTTTATTTTTAAAAAAGCAACCACCATGAAGACAGTTGTTTTTAAAGAAAAATGTTTGAGCTTTGCAGATTGCCCCCTTTCCAAATTTATCCCCCAGCTGGTCACTAAAATGGGATTGGTTGACATTTTTTGGGAAGCTTTGAGCTGACACAGGGCTCTGGCTGCCCAAGGAGGACTGTGGTGTCCAGCATTATCCCTTTGCATGGGCTAAAGCCAGAGGAGATGATTTGTCTGCCTGACATCTGATCCACAGCTTTCAGCAGCTGAGCAAAATAAAAATAAGCTGTACACGTTAATACAGGGTAGGAATTGTTTGAGTTGCCATGGTAGAAGGGTGGGAAGCAGGTGAGGTTTGTAACATGATGGAAGAATTGAAATAAGGCTGATGTGATGCAGGAACAAGGTGTC